TCAGATATTGTCCAAGATTAACCTTCAGGGTGGATATAGCTCGCTCACACCGAGGACCTATCCACGTCAACATTTACCCAGAATGCTTTGTGTGTAAATAAAATGGCTCCGTCCATGTTAAAATATATTTGAAAAATTTACAAAACTGAACAACCTACGGTATTTTTTACAGTCTTTATTTTACAGTTAAATGTTTATCAAATAAAGTCTAATGTCACAGCTAATCGTGGATCCCTTTAAATCACCAGTAGACGTAATCATGTCCTGTAGGACTGACAATGATGGGATTCTTACCTGTGTACGGCTGCAAGGCAGGCTGGTTAAGTGGTCTGGCAGGACTACAGACTCCCACCACAGACCTGTCTCCTTTGAGGTCTCCTGTCAGTTTTGAATCCAGGACTGATGAAAGCTGATCTTCTTCCTGCTGCTTGGCAGCATCTGCAGCGGTGTCCTGTTGTTGGCCGGGGGCTCGGCTTCKCTCTTTCACCTGGTCCTCCAGCTCCCTCAGCTCCTGCGTGAAGGCTTCGATGCTGATGCCCTGTCCGTTAGCGTCTCCGGGAAGCTGAGGATCTCCTGGAGTCTGTTCCAGCAGTTCCTCAATGAGACTTTCCACAGACTGAAGCGTTTCKTTGGGTTCTGGAAGATCTGAGGGTGTGCTGTGAGGGCCTGAGGTGTCGCTGGTCGGCTGTTTGGTGGGTGCTGTCTGGGTGATGGAGCTCTGAGAAGGAAACTGCTTAGGGTGAAGAGATCTTGTCTCGCTGATGTCACTGTTGCTAAAAATGGATTTTGAGAGAGCGGAGGTAAGGGAACCATTTTGATTGGCGTTCTCGTCCAGGTACTGCTGCTCCCCCAAGTCTCTTTTTACTTTCTTCACCTCCAGTCCTCTGTCGCAACTGTCCCCCTGCTCCACTGTCCCATTGAACATGTTCTGGTAGCTCACAGTGATGGTGGAGGTGGGAATGTGCGGGGACGAGGTGGGGTGTGAAATAGCTAAAGGGGCTGTTGATGATGATGATGATGATGATGAGGGGACAAGAGGGGGAATCGGTTTAGAAAGGAGTTCCTCTCTCTGCAAAGTGCGTTTCTTAGAGCGCGGCGTGAGGCTGATGCAGTTATTTTTGCCGATYGTAACGTCCCACTCGCCGCTGTCCCGGTCCGAACTGCTCCATTCAGAGCGAGCCGCCGCCATGATGGCTGCCCTCTGCTGGCCTGGAGGAGAGCTGCTGCTTCCATCCCGATGTAAAGAAAAGTGCTCAGGGAAAACAGCCATGGACGGGTTGGAGGACGGGGGAGGCGGGGGTGATGGGGCGGTGTTTGGGGAGGGGTTTTCACCATCGTAGGGCGCCGACCAATCACGGCATGCCCAGGAGCAAAGCTCAATACCCCGACGGGCGTCCTTGAGGTACTCTAAGTAACCCGAATCCCAGTCCAGGCTGTCTGTGTGGGCCTGCTGCTGATGCATGGGGCTGTCGGGGGACAGACTGGATGGACCTGACTGCAGTGGATCCACACTGGTGGGTGCAGAGGACCCACCTCCTCCTGACACTGCACTGCTGCTCTGCTGGCGGATGAAAAAAGATAAGCGGGACGGTGTGCTGGGTTTGGGCGGAGCAGAAGACTCTGTGCTCGGATTGTTCAGTACTGTGGGATGACACGGTCAGAAAACCCGAGAGAAATTATTTTCAAAAATGATAGTTTTTGAGAGGAGGCTATGTTCAAAAGGTTTAATGTCTAATCATGCATTAACAGAATCATAAAAAATGACAAAATGAAAACATCTTGATTGGCAACTTTTTTGTCTAACCCTCACAAAGTTTTTACATTTGCTGTGGTGGGCACCAGTCCGCTAAAGTGCAAATCCGCTAATTGCAGACCTAAATATTTTGTTTGCACTTTAG